AATAGCTCTGCCAAAATGATTGGGAAATATTATAATTTTTTTAATTGCAAACCCCACATGTATTCAAATGTAAGTTTGGGTTTCCCCCAGATCCCAAGGGAGCTAGTTTTGGGCCAAGTTCTGCTTGCTTTTAGGCCTCATCTCATGTGAGGACTTGACCACATTCACTGATGCAGGAGTGCTTCCTGATGCATCTGCATATCCAGTAACCGCCCCTTCACAGGGACAAATGAATGCTGGTTTTGAGCAGGAATCTGCCATTTTGATGCAAACGACAGTTAAAGTGTTTATCAAAACCGCATAAAAGATGCTAGCAACACTGATAGAGGCCTTAATCCAGGGAGCTGCTGGTTTATTGTTCAAACACAATACTGCATCTTGCTGGGGACATTGTGCAGGAGATCACACAGATGAGCTCTGCTCACACCAAAACTGCCACACCAAAACACGATCAAAGGTGTTGAAGACAATTTTTTTCTTTGAAATTCTTCCTGCTGCATGTTTCTATGTCACACAAACAGAAAGAAAAGCACATTCTAGTAGGTATTGCTGAGGATAAACCTCTGCTCATGTGATACTTGGGTCTGGTTTTAAAAAGCAGCGTTGTGGAGTAATAACAAAATCCAAAAAGGTTGGGAAGGACAGAAGAGCAGGGTTCCTGGGTTTTTTTGTGGGTTATTTTTTATTTTTTAATTGGAAATGCATAAACACTACGCACCACTGCTTGCTTAGCATTCTGACTAACATTCTTGCTCTGCTTAACCTAATTTCCTTAAGCAGGCAGAGATTCATATTCACAGAAGAGGGAGGACTGTAACACCCTTGGCTTGCCATCAGGACTCCACAAACAAACTGTGTACAATGTACAGGACTGTGCAGAGAGCAAAACCCACACTGAATGTCTTGAGGGAAGCCAGCTGTGGAATATGCAGTTTTGAATTTCCCTCTTAAAGCTAGTGGAGTGCAATGCAGTGTCACCATCATTTATTTGGTAAGAAGTGAGAAGTGAGCAGTGCTGCCAGCAGCAGCCCGGGCAGCGGCTTTGCTCAGTCTGTGCCACAAGCCCCATTGTGGGGCTTAGCACTTACCACCTAGGCTTAGAGATCCCCAGGCAAGAACAAAATCCATCCAAATATTTATTCCTGAAAAGAGACAACTTTCTACAAAGCTCTGAGGCTAAGGCAGAACTCTAGGAAGGCATACAATTTATTTACCATGTGCTTGAGAGCAAGCAAGCTCTACAAGAGACACTTGTTCCGAATTACAATGCTCTCTCTAGGGACAGCTCTGTTGATAACATGAAGAATGTTTAACTGAATATCAGAGATTAAAACAATCTGCTTCTGCCAGCTCCAAAACACAAAGGCCATTACTGTTATATACAGAAATAAAGCCAGAATATTGGAAAGGGAACTGAAAGAAAAAAAAAAGCCCTGTGTTACCCTTGGTTATCAGGGTTTTTTTTTTAAGGGTGGAGGAAAAGAAGTCTCTAGATTGTTCACTTAAACTAATGTAATCAGCTTCACAATGTTGAAGAAGCAGCCCTAAGCTTTGTCTATTCATTCACACCATTTAGTTATCTTTCCTGTTTATCTAAGAGGCACACACAGGACCAGAATGAAGGTTAGTCTTTACAATACGACAAATCTACTGCTTTCTTATTTTTGAAGGTAAACAAGCCTTTCTGTGAAACTGAAATGCAGATAACAGAGCTGTGTAACATTAAGTGTGACATGAGACAGAACATGAAATTCCTGGACTTGGTGGTGCATCCCCTGGGTGCAGGTCTGTTGGTCAAGTGCAAACACAGATAAATTGCAATTCAAACTACCAGCTTTGTCAAAATCTCTCATTTTATATCATTCTTGCAGTGCATGACAACTCTGCAGCTAAACTATGTACAGATCAAAATTAACTGATGAGTCAAAAATAATCAGTTTCACATAAATGGCAAGATTAAGTTCTGGCCATAAATCTGCTTCATGAGATCTTAGCAGAAGAAAATTTGGATTTTATTTGTTGCTTTTCACCTGAAAAGAAAGCAAGATTTTTACAGCTAAGTTTTTATAACGTCTTATAAATGTGGATTTGGAAATGTTTTTACTCGGGAAAAAGTTAAAAGTGGGTAACTGTTTAACAGGAAACACCATCAAAGGGAACATGCCACACACAGTGAAGTTTATCTGGATCTGTAGCACCACCTATAGATGATACAAAATTACTTCATGCTCATAAAACCCTGCATGCAGAGGCCCTCTGTACCAATGAGGGTAGGAAAACTAACGCCACTTTTCAGTTGCCAAATTGTAGTACAGTTGCACCTTCAAGTTTTCAGATCGGGTACGATTTTCTACAGCTGCAATCTTGCCTACCAGCAGCTGGTGTAAGTAACTCCAAACTTTCATCTCAAAAATGAGTATCACTCCTTCTGTATTGACATAAAGCCACCAGCTTTAAACCCAGAGCAGCACACTTCCAGCAGCGCCTGTCCAACAGCCCAGGCTGAAGCTTCTTCAGAAAAGAAAACTCCCATCACTGGGGACTCCTAACATGCAAGCTCCTTAGTTGGGCTACCTGAACTCTGTAGCCACATGACTTGTAGAAATAAAAACATAATTATCCTTGAGATCACCAGCCTCCATAAAATCAACCAGCAGAAATACTGGGAAGATGGTGTGTGACCAAGCAGACAGAGGCAGACTTACTGGTGACAAAACCAAGTACATGAGGGCAGATCAATTTAAGTTATTTTGCCTTAAAATAAAGGAAAAATATATAATTGGCACTCTCAACTGCTCCAACTCTGGTTTGATCTTGCTTCTAGTTTACCAACTACTTTGCTATGCCAGTGCAACAGCTATGCTGTAAACTGGACCACTGAGATGACCTGAAAAAGCCCACCTCCCTCTCCAGGTGAAACAGAATTGAACTTCAACTGCACTGAGCATCCTCAAGCTTGCTCTCCTGCAGCTCAGCTGCCTCCCCAGCACATGGCACAACCTGGGCAGCTCAGCCCTGCCAGGCACTGGTCTCCTGGGAAAGCACACATCATCATGTACTTACCTCTCATGCTTTTTATCTTCCAACTGCTTTATAAGTAGTCTCAACACAGTTGAAATGTAACAGTTAGGTCTGTGCTACAGGCACAACATAGTAAAAACCTTCCAGCCTACTTAAAATTTATATAAAACCAGGTGTGCTCAGTGACTTGGAACTGGGCCTCGTCAGCTCCTCATATCACCCACCTGAAGGGAAGAGGTAACTAACAGGTGACAAACTTGAATCACCAGAAAAGTTGGAGAATGTAGTAGGAAAGTGTATGGAATAATAAACCCTGAAATACAACTGTCAAGTAAACATAGAACTTGACATTTCAGTACAGCACAGGGCTAGGAAACAAGTCTGTAATAACACCTTTTTCATCAAGCATTTATGAAGCTTCTCCCTCTAACTGGAGTGTGGTCTTCTCTGACAATGACAAGTGTCAGGCACACTGCCAGACAGTTCAAAGCAAAACCTAGATTTTAAAACCAAGATTATTTGGAATTGCTTTTTTGCTTTAAAAAAAACATTGATTTAGAATTAAGGATCAGGAAGGCAGAAGATCTATGGATCTTCAAAAATAGTACAAGATAAAAATTTTAAACTGGAGGCCTATTCAGAAAGTGGCCCTAATTAGACAGCCTGTATAATTTTTCCAGGCATGTTTGTAGCACATGAAGCAATCATTCAATGTCTCCCACTAGCAAATACTGTGAAATTCAACTTGACTTGGATTCCCCAAGAGGGAATCTCAGAGCTAGTTTTAAGAACAGGCTCTTTTGGTTTACATGCATGTTAACAATCGTCCTTGGAATGCTGTCTGGCTTTGAAATCATCTCTGACTTCTGCAGACACAGGCACCTACAGAGCTATCTATTTTCCCAAGTTGAGAGGCAGTTTCTTTAACTAGATAGTATATTCACTACCAAACTATTAGCTACCACTACAAGAATGCTCACAAGATAGGGGTGATTTCAAATACAGCTTAGAATTCATTCATTATAGAAATGTGCATCATTAATTTGGTAAATTACTACCTCACTGTGATCCAATCTGAATTTATGCTAGAGTGTCAGACCTTGGATTAGAATCTATTATTTTTTTATTATTATTTTAAATGGAACAAATTCCATCTTTTACTTTTTTCCTTTAACTTAAAAAGAACAGAGCAAAAAATGTAACGCACTTTTACTACCTGTGTAACTACAAACAGGCAGCATAAAAATAAAACCAAAATCTAAGTAGTGTTTGTAAAAAATATATTTGCAGTTGTTTTTGTTCTTTAAAACACAGGTGCCTCTGACAGAGAAGACGCTGCCATATATTTAAATTTGCAATACTGTTCTTGCTAGGAAAGTTAGTTATTACTAGTGGATGGACAAAATTCTTTTGTTTTCTAAAAATAATCACCTGGTCTCCTTCAAAAGCATTTCCAGATTAGGTGCCAGGTGCTAGCAACTGCTACGGATAATAGGGAACAGCCCCCTTAAGCTTTACTAGGGCTGCATTAGATCCAGTAGCAGACATTTCTTACAGATCAACAATCATCCAGGTGCAGTTAATGCATACTGAACATGTAACTGAAACAGATTTCACTTAAAAATATACTTCAGAATAGCTTGGACTATTACCTTTTCATGTGTGCATAAGGAATGAGTCTGCTCTGATGGTTATTCATCATAAGGTGAGGCTTTCTTATTTTAGCCAGCATGACACAAGAATCCTATTTTGGGAAGCTTACTGCTTGGTGAGATTGTCAAGAGTTGCTTCGGTGCTCAGATTTTATGAAGAACACAGCCTCCTATTTCAACAGAGGCACATGAATAAACACATCCTCTTTTTCACATACAAGATGTATGTGTCCATGTACAGACAAGTAAAATGTGTGAGTGGAAGGTATTTGGTTGTAGGACAAATCCTGCATTCACTTATGTCCTGTGCATTTCTGTTGAATCCAGCACTGCCTCTGAGACTGAAATTTGTTTATTAACATTCCTGTGTAACTAATCTGGTATGGAGTCAGCTGGACACAGCAAAGCTGTATGGGCTCCACTTTGAATAATAGAATAGGTCTGCTTAGGGGCTTCTGTGTGAGAGGATGAAGAAAAGATAGGAGGAGGGGGAGCTGAAGTGGACACTGTTATGCTTTGACCTCCATCACTAACCACAGTCACTTCTGTTGCTCCTTCTTGTATCAAAGCATTAAGGCCTTCCAAGTCAGAGCAGCTGATTCCAGAGCTGGTGATGAAAGCTTGGTTTGCTGAAGCATCATGACTGCTGACAGGAGCAGCTGGGATCAGGGCTTGATGTAAAGCACTTCCATCACTCTGGTCATGAGTTGTGAGAAGAACTGCTGGTTGTGCCACAGGCCCTGCTTCGCCCTGAGATATGGGAGGTGGAGGTGGTGCCAACAAACTGACTTGGCCAAGAAGCTGCAAGCGGCTGTTGGCTGAGAGGTCTTCCTGATTCTGGCTAACTAGCGTAGGAGGCACGACATTCACTGATGCAGCTTGAACAATACTGTTAGTCTGAGGGACCTGATGACCCACAATGATCTTAACCCTTCCCTCATTGTACGGAGAAACCTGAGCAGCCTGAAGTGGGACCTGGAGGTGACTGACGGTAATTGGGGCACTGGTCTGCCGACTGGGATCCATCTGGAGCTGTAGAACAGCCAGTTCAGTATTTTTAGATCCATTATACATACTGTGTTGCTTCTTATGGCTCCTAAGAGAATCTTCTCGGACAAAGGAAGCATCACACAGGTCACACTTAAATGCCTTCTTGGCATCCAGTTTAGCAACCTGCCTGGAACCACCCTGCTTTGGCCTATCTCCTTCCTTCTTCTCCACTGTTTGCTTCTTGGTCTTGACTTTGTCACCATGTGCTTTCCTCACATGGGTTGTCAGGTTGCTCCGCTGTTTGGTATCAAAACTGCAGAATTCACACTTGAAAGGACGATCTTTGCAGTGAATCCGCTCGTGCACTTTCAGAGCTGCCTTGTTGGAGCAAGAGTAGTTGCACTCTGAGCACTTCACGGGCTGCTCAGGCTGATGAGTTCTTATGTGGTGCCGAAGGCTTGTTTTGTTTCCACACTGGAAGTCACACTCTGGACACTTCAGAGTATTTTCCATGCTGTGCTTTATACGAATGTGTGATTTTAGATTTCCTTTCATGGCACATCGGACCTCACAGAACTCACATTTGTAAGGTTTCTCACCAGAATGAACACGCATGTGCCTCTTCAGGTCTGAATTGATTTTAAATTTAGCAGGACACATCTGACATTGGAAAGGAGCATCTCCTGTCAACAAAAAATACAGTTTAAATTACAGATGGGACACCAAGATCCATTGGAAAGACCAGTACTGTAATGAATTGTGTACACCTGACTTGTTCTAAATATCTGTAAACTGTCAACATATTTACAAGATTTAGAGAACTTTACCAGCACAGTATATATCACCTGGTCTAGCATTTTGTGTGCAAACTCGCCATGAGCATGCCTGCCCACATTGGTTGCTTTTTCATGTTTGCATCTTAAGGATTCTCCATTTTTAGTTCATTTTGTGTTCGGTGTGCTCCAGAGAAGTGACTGAAGTGTCTCATTTGTCCCTCTTTAGCAACAGTATATTTCATCTAGTACTGAAATTAATAAAAATAAACAATGTAACTTTAACAGTTGTATTTGTGAAGTCTAAGAAAACAGCATAAATACATGTATGTCTTGAGTTTACACTTCAAGATTTACAAGGAGGTTTGCAGGCTAACTGTAAGCCTAGGTAAGTAGTAGTCTACTGCAGAGACAGATGCTTAAAAGGCACCAGCCTGGCTGCTCCACCATAGATTCCTTACTGCCTTTCTTGTACCAACATCTTCTCACATTGTGAGTTAGATTAACTGACAAGAAAAACTCATTACTTCTTCTGGCCTGGTTCATGTGGTGCAGCACAAATACTATTGCTGGCACAGGAAGGCAGTGTAAACTCTTTGTCTAGAGTACAGGGAGATGTAGGTACAGAAGTCATACCTAGGTCAGTGTCAGTTGACTGCACAACTATAGCATTATTACAGCTATGGAAGAAAAAAAAGATGGATCACAGCTACATAAATACATCTGGAAAAGACAAATGTGAGACAAATGAAACATGCATGCAAGTCCGTGACTCTGGGGAAATGTGCTTACACACAGAAGTAACATTAAGCTTTTGTTTTTCTGGCACTACAGCAACTGAGAAAGATTATTTGCCCCATGTAACACATCTCATCATGTTCCACACAGCACTTCAACAAAATCTAGTATCAGTTTGTAATCATGCAATATCAGTTTGCATCCATGCAAACGGGTACATAAGATATTAATCCATGGTTTTTAAAAACTTTTTTTGGAGTAATGCTGATCCAGAAACCTAACAGTGAAGTTGAAAGTTAGGTCAAATTCTTAACTTATAAAGCATGAAAAATAAACACATTCATCTGGCAAGATCTCTGTAAGCCTGTTTATGTTAGACTTCCTACACAAATAACCATTTCAATTGCCCGGATCTAACCCACTAATTTGCATTTTATTTACAGGCTTGTGGCACAGCATAAATGACCAAATCTGAAGTCACTCAAAAAGATCCAAAGTAAACCTATCAACCCAACTAAATAACTGTTAACTTTTTTCTTCACTCTAAATATGTAGTTCTCTAAACACCTAAGCATGAAGTATTCAGGCATTATTTTTAAAAAGTGGAAGAATTGTATTAGGTTCTTTGATACCCTTGGTGGGGGAAGGAAAAATAAAGTACATTTAGCTCAGTAAGCATTTATCATCTTTCATAATCTAACTGCAAATGGCGGATTTATTTTGTAAGTTAATATTTTATAGAGTTTTTGATAGCTGTATAATTTTGCATAATTTGCTTATCCAGCTACATATGTTATAGATTTAGCTGCATATTTTTCAAATCAAGTTGTGGCCTACTGTGCTAATCCATGTATCTCCTTAATAATTGAGATACATGGTGTATTATCTGTATTAAACAGATTTTATTAATGAAGATGCACTGTTTGTTCATCTAGTTTATTTTATAGTCTTAGCTGCACACTCAGCTACTAGATTTTTATCTACTTTGCTGATGAAGGCACAGTACATATTTCAATGACTTAATTTGCACGTCAGGGTAGCACAATACGTGAAAATGAATTAGTAATTTTACCAAATACAGCAAACTATGTTGGTTCTGTCTATTTAAAGAGTGGTCTATTACGTATATTTACATTTCTGTCCACATATAATTGATACCTACAGGCTATGGCTTAAAAAACTCCAACCAAGTGTCTCATCCTCGAATTATTAGCTGTAGTTTTACTCAAATTAACAGGAAGTGATCTTTGGATGACTGGTTCAACAAGTAATGCTATGTACATGACCTCAGTCTGTGCAATGTAAATTACACTCACTTTCTAGAGAATGACTAATTTAATTCCAGTAAGCAATGTATTCCACACAGCAGTCTTACTTTTCCCCTAGAACTGTCTGTGTGCATAACAGCTTTGTAACTTAACAAGTAATAAATTACTTTCCAAATTCTCGTGCCTCCTTTCAGCGAATCAAAAAAGTCCTTTTACAAAAGAGGATTTAATTTGGAGAAATGGAAGAGACAAGAATGAAGACTTGCATTTTAGCATCAACAAACTGATCTGCCAGAAAGAAAGAAGGTAGCCAAAATCACTTTCCATATTGTAATACTTAAAGCCACAAAGATCTAACTCTGCTGGAAGGAGAACTATGGTCACTCATGGGGCTCTCCCACAGCCAAATTCAGAGCATACCTGGCCATGTGTGTAAATGCACAACTATGCCTGACATGGGGAAAATGCACTATCATTTAGTGTGTTTACTACCAGATAACTGCTCGTAACAGCCCGTACTATTTTGACTGACCATCACATCTTCTTGTACAGTCACAGAAAGAGGGGAAACCTGTAAAACCACTGCCTGATAGTCCTGTCTGTTCCATCACAGCAGATTTGTGAAGTATAAAAGATTCTTCTCTGCTAGAGACAGATTGGTTTAACTCTCCCCTCCTTCACAATACACAAGATATTTCTTTCTTTTATCTACTCAGAAAAAATCCCACCTTTCACACATCTGAACTAATGTTGTTTAGTACTTGAATTCAGTATCAATGTAGGACAGGTTCAAAACTAATCTAGTAATCACTGAACCAGAACCACCTTGCAGCTAAAATTCACAGAACTAATCAAATATATAAAAGACAACACAGAAACTAATCTAGTACCCTGGATTAGGTGAAAAACAACATACAAAGACAACAGTATAGCAGTATCTTTACAGCTAATTTCTTTTAGGAACCATCTGTAAGAGAAATCCGATTAAAAGGAAATTTAAGCAAATAATGGAAATATAAAGTGATATAATGTTTAGAAGCCTGGAGGCTAAAGATTTCTATCCACAGAGCAGCAATTATATGGGCAGAATAACAATTTTGGCTGCTCATAGAATCATGGAATGCCAGGTTGGAAGGGACCTCAAGGATAATCTGGTCCAACCTTTACAGGTAATGCTATAGTTTAAATGAGATGACCCAGCACCCTGTCAAGCTGTCTTGAAACTGTCCAATGTAGGGGAATATACCACATCCCTTGGGAGATTACTGCAATGTCTAACTGTTCTCATGGTGAAGAATTTTCTTCATACTACACTGTTAAGGTCCATCAGTGTGCACATGGAAGATACCACAAAGAAAGGTCAAAAGAAGGTGTACCTTAAATTGGGAATTATTTTCTAATTTATTGATACAGGGAAAAGAAAATTCTTTTTCTTAAAAAATTAAAAGCTGAGGTTTGCATTGATATAATTAGCTCAATTGTAAAATAATGTCAGGACTTCTAATACAGCGGACCAGATTTGAGAGACACACACAGGAACCTACATGCTCTTAATCAATCAATCAGTTCCTTCAGTTCTACTGGTTTAAGAATGTCCAATAGGCACTTTCAAGAAATTCACAGAAGCCGGATGCCCAAATGCTGCTCAGAATTCAAAGGGGCCCTTGCTGGCCCCTCGACACCTACAGACCTTTTACAATCTCCCTTGTGACCTTCAGGCCTTTGCAGCTTTGCATTCCCCTATACCTGTGTGTGATCTGAGATGCACAGTCAGCTGGCTGGAGTTGCGGCTTGCGTAGGGACAGATCTGGCATTTAAAGGGTCTCTCGTTGGAGTGGATGCGCTGGTGCTTGTTGAGGCTGCTGCTGTCAGCAGCAGCATAGTCACAGTGCCTGCACTTGTAGGGCTTCACTCCGCTGTGGGAGCGCATGTGCATCTTCAGCTTGTCCTTACGGCTAAAGCATTTGTTGCAAACTTCACATTTATGGGGCCTGTCTCCTGAAACAAACAGGAGAGCATCAATGCATCAGGAATTTTTTAACTGTGAGGATGCTGTTGCAATAAAATAAAATAAAAAAGCACAAACTAATTGCTTAATAGGAATGGGGCTAGTTTTCTGAAGTTAGACACAGGATTTCAGCAGCCAGCAAGTCAGCTAAGAACACTTCTGTGCTCCTGAAGGCTGCACGCTCAGTCGCAACACATTCAGAAGACCTTTTGGAACTTTCTCCCTTTATAACTCTGAAACAGCAGATTAAGGGGAAGGAAGATGAAATGTTGGAATCACTGTTTCAGGATTTAAAGAACAAATGAGGTTCACGCACCACCACCACCACATTGCACCCCAATAAACACATGGTCTGCACCTCAGAAATTCAATTATGCCTCAAATTGATGTCCAGTGTTTGTGTGTCAAAGTTGCGAGTGGTACTGCCCACAGCTGGACATGGCTAACACAAAAAGGGCAGTTCCTCAGGCATGGAGAACTACAAGATTCAAATGTACAGAAATACGTTGACATTCTATCTAATTCATATATAGATATGTTACTTTGTAGAAAAATACATCTTTGCAAAAAGCCAAAAGGAGGAAACCAATAAAAAAAAAATAAAATAGCAACTATATAAACCTGTGTGTGTTCGTAGATGACGTTCCATATCCTTCATACCATAGGAAGTCTTGAACTGGCAACCTGAAAATGGTAAGAGTAAGGTAATTAAATTAGTGGAAAAATTTAATGAAATAATAAAAATATATTACCATATTCTGGGCACTATGTTCTTTTCAAGAACATTTAAAATTCAGTATTAATAGAAAATTAATCCCCCATCTTGTTTACACACATCTACTGAAAATAGTGACTGGCTTACCTATGAACTTCAGCTTTCTAGTGCTTCCCCTAGGAGGCAATTCACTCTCTACATTACTGCTTTCTCTAAGTTTTGAAACAAACTCTCTACAACCTCTGCCCAGGATTTGAGATGCTCTTTACAGTACACAGGGGATGGTAGGGGAACTAATTAATTCCATATATGACTTCAAGCTAGTGTAACTGGGAACTCAGGTAACAGTTGCCATTCAGGACTTCTGTCCAAGTGGAAAGTGCTACAGTTTTAGACCACAGAAATGAATGGTAAGCATTTGAAACATGCTTTTCAAACAAAGGCAAGCTTGTAAAAAGAGACTGTAACTTCTGTTCCCATTCATATGGCTCATCTAAATGGCTGCCTCTGCACACATTTTCTGCATATTGCATAGTTTTTAGTCATTCACATCTCAAAACACTTTGGTACCATCCATCTTTATAAACACGGTAATTGAAGAAAGACAAAACATATAATGCAAGATGCACATGTATTTCTCATGTACAACAACGCCAGTTAGCAGAAAGGTAACATGACTCTGCTCTAACATTGCTACGAGTGTGGGCACAGGCCAATGTCTATATACAAACCCACTGCAGCATTGCCAGAGCACACCACAGTACAGGACCAACATCTAAGGACATATGAAATCAATACCCAAGCTACTACTTGTATCAAAGGTAGAACATCACACCTTTAGTAAGTAGGTTGTCTTTCAGGTTCTGCGTGTCTTAAATACTTAAGACAGAGCTCTTGTGCATGTGAAACCTATCAATTTTATAATGAAAAGGAAAAAAGTACAGGCCACGTCATACCTGGATAGCAGCAGTTTAGTTTCTTCTGTGTAAGTGAGGAAGTAGATTTTCTTGAACGTGCTTTTGGTGGTGTAGAGACGACAGCAGCAGCTGGAGCCTCAGTGCTTTCACTGGGCAGGTAGGTTTGATAGCCATGCTCAAAAACAAACTCTGGTGCAGAAACTAAACACATAAAAGAGCTCAATTTGAAAACATTAACTTCTCCAATCAGGAAAATGTAGTTATTTTCTAGTTTCATAATGAATTCTCTGTTTGTTTTTTTTTTTCCCCAGCACCATTCCTGTTCCTCATTTCCCATTCAGCCAGGCGAGAGGGAAAGAAGAAAGGCTTTTCTGTCCTTTGCTATCAGTGACAATTCTGTCAACATCTGATGAGCCACACCAAACCCAGAACAACCCCATGCAGGCCCACTTATCTCCCTCTGAATCCGATCTGACAGCACCACCCAGTTTCTTGAGAAGTTCAGCTTCTTCTGATGCCTGTACAGGTCTTGCATTAATAGAGGTATTTTTGTTTCTCAACACTGGCCCACTACACTACACTACAGCCCAAGAGAGAAAAAAATCAAGTTATTTAGATGGCAAATATCATCCAAAATGCATCATGTAAACAACTCTCTTCTAAACTGCTAAAAAAGTTCAGCTTCTTTCAATTATACTGTTTTCAGCTGTTACTCACAAGAATAACAGGTAAAACTATCTTGGCCAAACTAACAGCTTTTAAATCAATTAAACGATGCTATACCCCAAAAGGGCAGAAGGACAGAACTGCCCTGATTTTACAGATGAGTAAATATGAAGCAGAAAAATGACTCATCCAAAACTCACACCAAGTTGAGAGATTGTAATACAAAAATTCCTGGAAGTGAGCCCTGAATTCAGTTTGTTTCACTGCTGTTCCAGATTCTCTGCCCTAATCTGTCTATCCCAATTAAAGTAAAAGAACATAGATTTCAGTAAGGTCCAAAATTAAAATAAAGGAAAACTATATATAGAAGGGCAAACCTTCAGACACGGAACAAAATTCTAGTTTTACTTAAGTGTTTGCAGCCTCAGGACTTCAGTTTAGCCTTCACATAGGAGAAATTTTGAGTAATATTTTTCCTGCCAATTAGTTGTGGGAGCAATGGTAGGGAATGCAGTGTTCTCACATAAAAAGGCCTGGATTGGCGCCCGAAAGCAATTCTGTGTCTGTTTTTCATCAAGAACACTCTTAAAAAAGAGAATGCATAGTAATTTGATTATTTTTCATAAGTATTGACAATTTTAATTAGTTTGCACAAGTTGGTTATACAACACATTAGACTTAAGCAATTCTCTAAGTGAATTTGCTAATTGAGATGCAAGTTAAGCAACTGCTGTCACACCAAAACCAAGCAGACAAGCAAACCACTGCTGTTTTCTTCTTCTTCTGCCTGCAGGTACGTGATGACTGATGTGAAAACTGCTATTTTAACTGGGTGTGACGGGGACACACGAGCAGAGGGATCCGTAACGTCACCGCTTTGCACGAGTTTGGTGCTTTCAAACTCCAGATATGTCACACCAACATACCTGTGATGGTTTGGGTCTCTGAAGCAATGGTCCTGGTTGCGGTTTGTGCCTGTGTGGATGGCACCGTTTCTTCCGACACAAACTGGACCGTGCTGGCGGCCCCAGCTGCTGCCCTGGTGAGCTGGCAGCCGCTCTGCTTGTGTCCCACGAAGGCATCGAGGTTATTGAACTGCTGCTTGCAGATGCCACAGATGTGGATGTCGGGGGTGAGCTCCACCAGCACGGTGGTGCCGCCGGGAACTGGGGAAACAGGGACAGGGTCACGAGCTCGCCCTGAGGGAATCGCACTGCTTGAAACCGCTTATGACTGACACGGACGCGCGGAAAACCGACCCGCGTGGCGGGGCCCGGCCCACGGCTGCGGGGATCGGCGCCGGGCCGGAGGGGCCCTCGGGCCAGGAACGCGGTGCCCCGACACGTTTCCCCGCAGGCCTCAGGGTCCCGGGGGGGGGATCCCCGCACCCCCCGGCCCGCAGCCCCTCCCGGGCCCCGCCCCCCAG